GTTTTTTTTTTTTCTTGTCTTAGGAGATTCCTGGAATGAGTCCATCTTAAACTGTTGCTGGAGTTCCAGTAAGTGATGAAGACAGACTCTTTCCTGCTGCCATTCAACCCTCACTAATACATGGCTGTTGTGTTCTTGTTGCACAGCTAGTGAGAATATGTTGGTTTTTATTTGAGAGAACGATTGGAGATATGAGTACCTTGCATATATACTTGTATTTTCTTATCATTGGAATGGGGAGTCAAAGTTCATTTTCAAAATGCTGTCTGCAGAGTTGGGGTAAGACCATGCAGGAGAGGGAGAGAGCCAGGATTGCTGAACATACTCTGTTTTACAATTTTGACTGTAAAATCAAACAAAAATTGTATATCATTTTAAAAATTAAAAACTTCACACTATCAAAATGTAATGCAAGTGAAAAGAAAAAGTAACAATTGCATGTTAATTGCTGGCAAAGTCACACAAAGAAGCATTGCAAATGACTAAGCATAACATTTTCTACTGCTTTTCTTTTTGTTTTTCATTTTTTATCTTCTATTTGAAGTCTAACATTTCATTATGACCTTGGTATTTGTTGCTGACAATCAACATGTGTAAATACTACTTTGTCTTTGTCAACTAACAATCTGCCCTTCAGCACACCATTGTCCCCATTTTCCTGACTTATCTCCTCTGCCTCTTCCTGTAACCACTAATTGTCCTATTGTCCCATAGTTGATTTTTGTTTCCTTTAATCCAACTGTTTTTCTCTGCATATGCCACAAAGGTAAAGTCGTATGATATTTGTCTTTGTCTAGCTATTTCTGTTATAGGACAGGGAGAAGGGCAGCCCAAACCCCGCAAACCTGCCTATTCTACATGGGTTCTGCCATCCGCCGCATCAACACAAAACATAGGAGACTTTAATGGGAAGGAACTTTAATAAAACTAGGAAACAATACTGGTAAGGCAAAGAGTCTAGTTTCTAGTCTAGTTTCTAAATGAAGCATCCAGAGTTACCCGTCCCCTCGTGGGTAAAAGTCCATCCAAATGGGATTGGCCCAGAGCAAGGCCCCAAGGCCTGCCACAAGTCTAAAGCATCTTCCAGTGGGGACCCACAGCAAAGGGTCACAAACAACTGGACAAGCCCGGAAGGAAAAGAGCAAAATCAACATCAAGATAAAAGCTGCCATTGTCACCTCCCCATGGGTCTCACCCACATCTGTGTCACCCCGTCCACGACCAAAAGACAAGCGCAGCTTCTTCACGTGTCTCTAGGCTCCATGCGCCTCCTCCAGGTCTCCTGGCTCCATCCTGCTTCTTTCCTCAGTCTCTTCTCCAGCTTCTCCTCTTCCTGCTCAGCTCCCCCCTCCCTTGGGTGGGGCAGGGAACCTGGAACCTCCCCTTTCCTGGGACCACCCTGTTACATTTCCACCTTCCTTACTTCCCTCTAGGCCCATGAAAATTATTGCAAATGCAGCATTTTTTCTTTTTGGTAGTATTTTCACCCACGAGTAGTGTTTTTGTATTTTTTTAAAAAGATTTATTTATTTATGCATACAAGAGGTGTGGTGCAGGCCACAGGTGGTAAGAGTATTCACCAGACACATTGGGGCACAGAACAGGCAGATCGAGTGAAATACACTGCTGTGGGGAGCAGCAGGGAACACCGGTGAGGTCTGCTTTGCCATGTGGGTTGCTCCCTGGCAGGCCAGGGATCCAACTCATGCTGCAGAGGCTGGAAATCCTTCATAGTGCGGTGCTTTAACCCCTTATGCAACCAGGGGCGCCCTGGTTTTTTTATTTTACATTGTAAATACTAACGCTGGGAGAATTCGATGCATGGTATTTCAATTGTTAACTTTTTCAGAAATATTCCATGCTTCTTTCCATAATAGCTACATTCCCACCAACAGGTCTTCATGGTTCCTTCATCTCTACATTCTAATCTACACTTGTTACTTGTCTTTTACATAATGTCTGTTCTCTCAGGTGTGAGGTGGTATCTCCTTGTGTTGCTTTACATTTCTCTGGTAATAAACTATGATGAACATCTTTTCATGAAGCGTAACATTTGATTGCATATTCCTAAGGGTATCTGTGTAAAGACAAAAACAATCACTAAGTTTTCTGAAATGTCTAGCAAAAGCATTATTATATGGCTATATATGATAAAGCAAAGAATTACTTATGCCCGTGAAAGTAACCTAGATTTTCAGTATAAAGGAAGACATAAAACAAGATTTAAAATATAAAGAAATAGTTGTTGAAGGCAAAGTTAACAAAGTTATAGATGAAAAGGATAAGTATGAAAGGCTGTAGATAAAATTTCTGTAATATTTTACTTCAGTTGGATAGTTTGGTAGAAGTCATGACATATTTCTGTTTTTCTAAATGATATCTGTATAGATACTACCTCTGTCCACTCTAAAGGTCTAGAAGAACTGACATCTCGATAGAGCCCAGATTATGCTTTTTAAATCGTTGCTCATGAAGGTGATTAGACTGGATCTGAAATAGCGGTGCAAGCCAGGGATAGGGCAGGAAATCTGGGGGACCTTGCTGTACCTAACAGTGGGCAAACTGTCAAAGACACTGAGGACCTGTCCAGGTAGCACAGGAGTCATCTGGAAGGGACCACCACTGGCCAAAGTGAGTTCGTGTCAGCACTTCTTTGGTGCACGCTATATTCAGGGCCATCAAACCCTTGATGAGCAAGTGTTTCTTTATGGAAGCTGTGCAGCTAAACATGAGGAGTGGTAGATTTAGAATATCACCATTTTGCAAAATCCCCAAAATAAGCGGTAATCTGCACATTGTCATCTCTCAATTCTTCACTCTAAGGGGAAGGCTTGGTGAAGTTTTCTTTTCCGGAGTTGGCAAGTGAGAGAAAGTGCTTCTGATAAAGGGAAAGGCAAAGAGATTAAACGTTGCACCATGCACAGCCTAAGCTTTCTGAAAGAGGAGGTAAGAAACCTCACTTGCTGTCATCATTACTGAACTTTGTCATGAGTCTGGCTTCCTCCATGAACTCTTGTGAATGATTCTATGAATTGATGCAACTTCCTTGCTTTTTAATGGCTGCATATTGTTTCCCTCAAGAAATGCATTCCCTTGCTGTGCTAATTGCTCAGTATCCCAATACAAGAAACTTTGCCAGAGCCTACTTGGCTGTCCTAAGATGCTCTCAGACCAGTGAATGACATCAGCATATGCCCCAATCCTTCATCCTTCACCCCTGCCTCTCCCAGGACCACCTGTATTTAGGCCTCATCCTGGCTTACCGGAGCTGAATTTTATAGGAACATGCAAGAGCTTGTCTCCTCAGGGTGAAAGGAAAATTTTCTCCTCACCAATTGTGGCTCAGATTCTACTTGCTCTTCTCACTGTCTATTAAAGGGTATTTTTCACGTTTCTGAATATTTTTATATGAACTCCATGTCTCCACTTCCAACCCCTTTCTTTTCTTCTATGCTATGAAAAGATTATTCCAACATTAACCCTTTTGTTATACCCTCCCACATCTCTTCCATGGCCAGTGTATAACCTAAGTTTTATTAGTTATTACCAAATATTTTTCAAAGGCACACTCACATGGTAATCCAAAAATAGAAAATGAATAAAAGTCATTTTAATTTGCATAAAGTAGGAGTACACTAAATCTGTGTTCATCAAATTCTTAATAAGATCACCTAAATGTATAAATTATATCTTTCTCTATTAGGACACATGTATGGCTACATATATCTCTCCAAATATTCCCCTGCATATCTGGTTTTTATCAGAATAAAACCATAAGGTTATTTTAGAATTCAAATAAAATAAACCATTTTAATATGCATACATTTGAGACATTTTAGATCTCCAATACCAAAGAAATTGTATAATTACAAATCAAATTATTTCTTTTTCCCCAAAGATTTATTTTTATACAAGAGCTAGTGTAAAGGACAGAGATGCTGGAGGGTGAGCAGGGAGCAGAACAGGCAGACTCAACACTGATGATAAAGAACTTATCACAAAATCTACAAAAAGCTGATGAGACTCAACAAAAACAGGTACATAATTCAGTCAAAAAATGGGCAGAAGTGCTAAAAAGAAACTTCTCCAAATTATTAGAGCATCAGAAGTAGTCGCTTCAGAGCATTTGAAACAATTCTCTATGTTGATAACATTAAGAAAGCTCAATCTCTGAAGTGCAGAGTCTGGTATACAGAAGGGGCCTGTTAGGATGCAGGCCTTCTCGATTTTTTGATGTAGGTCTGGTTATAAGCATGTGAAGCTACTCATATAACTCATTGTGATGTTCATTTATGTTTGTGGCTAAACATGCCACTGTTCTAGAAGTTTATGTCCTGCAGTCACGGTGCAGACTTAGATTGGCTTGACAAGTGTGCAGTCCAGACCCTGAGAAGTGTTCTGGGGCCCCTATACCATTACAGATATGGCTTCTTCCTCGCCTGTCATTAAACAGTTGGGCAGCTGATTTTGACATTCATCACTGCCCAACAATGCAGACTCCATGAAAATGCCTCTGTGATAACTCCACATCACCTTCCCTTCTGAATGTCAGGGGACCCTTCCCCGGGTCTAACAGTTCTGAAGTTCCAGTTTCATTCACTCATCAAAGAAACTAATTTTAAAAAATGACTAGGCTTTTTAAAAAATGAACCCATTTTATTCATTTCAGTCTTCATGAAATAAGGATTTTATGTTTATGACTTCATTGCATACTGTGCCTGGCACATAATGGACTCCCAAGAAATATCTGGGGACATAATTGTTGTTGCAGTGATTCTATGAGGTGCCGCAGGAATCTCCAGGATTCTCTGAAGCTCCCTTGGGGTTGGAGCCTGTCCACTTGCTGGAGCTTGTGTCCCTGAGCTCAGCATGCTCTCAGGACTTTGGAGCAGA